ATTCACACTTAAAGAATTACATTAAAATCCCTTCTTTCCCGAGTACAAGGTTGACCTTCGAAAGAATTATATTATTCTTAAATTATTTTGAATTAAAACTATTCTTTAAATTAAATTATTCTTTAAATTCTTATTATTAAAGAATTGTCTTTAAATTATTTCTTTATGGAGGTAATAAGGTAATGATAAATAATAGTTATCCTATTGCTTTACAGTAACTTAAAAAATACTGAATCTGGATAATTAATTTAATGGCTCCATATTAGGCTAAGACACAACCCAGGTAAGAATTTCACAAAAATATGTTAATAATTTTTTAGTTATCCTGCTAGCCAACAAACAAACAAACTAAATAACCACCTCTACCAAAACCATAATAACAAGAAAGCAAAAAAAAAAACGGGTTTTTTTTTTCTCTCGCTCACAATAACGATCCTAAACAAACAAAACATAACAAAACAAAGCAAAAAGAGAAAAATGAAAGTTTTTTTCTCGCTCATCATAACGATTCTAAACAAACAACAACAAAACAAAAAAGAGAAAAAAAAAGAAAAGAAAAAAAAAGAAAAGAAAGGAAAGAAAAAAATATAAAAAAAAGAAAAAAGGAAAAAAAAAAAAGAAAAGAAAAAAGAAAAAGCGACAAGGCTTCCTCTCACTCACAATGGACAAGGCTCCAGCCAAGATCAGCGCCTTCGACCTCAGATCCAGGTTGGTGGGGAAGCAGACCTTCACCTCCTTCGAAGTGGAACAGCAGGAGGTCTTCGCCAGGTAGATCCCCCGAGGGGAAACCTGTCAGCCGAGGTCACCTGGGTAGAAGTGAAAGAAGTGATTGGTGTGAACCTGTCAGCCGAGGTCACTGGTAGAAGTGAAAGAAGTGATTGGTGTGAACCTGTCAGCCGAGGTCACCTGGGTAGAAGTGAAAGAAGTGATTGGTGTGAACCTGTCAGCCGAGGTCACCTGGGTAGAAGTGAAAGAAGTGATTGGTGTGAACCTGTCAGCCGAGGTCACCTGGGTAGAAGTGAAAGAAGTGATTGGTGTGAACCTGTCAGCCGAGGTCACCTGGGTAGAAGTGAAAGAAGTGATTGGTGTGAACCTGTCAGCCGAGGTCACCTGGGTAGAAGTGAAAGAAGTGATTGGTGTGAACCTGTCAGCCGAGGTCACCTGGGTAGAAGTGAAAGAAGTGATTGGTGTGAACCTGTCAGCCGAGGTCACCTGGGTAGAAGTGAAAGAAGTGATTGGTGTGGCTCGTGATTGTGGAGATTTATGAGGACATGTCAAGCGTCAGTGGGGATTCTTGGTGGAAATACGGACACTAAATGGAAATGAAACTAGTCACAATGAGACATAGGAAAAAAAAAGTAGCGTGACGTTTCCAACCTTCTCGAGTTCCTCATCAGACCAAAACCGTAATGGATCTCTCGGTCTGATGAGGAACTCGAGAAGAGTTCGAAACGTCACGCTTTTTTCCTATATATCTCATTGTGGCTAGTTTCATTTTCATTTTTGTGTTCACGTGATTGTGTTTGTGCTTGAGTTCACGGACACTAAAGTTATTGCTAAGTAAATGTGATTGATAAGCATTCTAATTTCCGTTGCTGTCATGTTTCTTAATAGTGTTAGCAAAATGATGAGTGTATACAAAATTATATCTGAATACAGAATTATATCTATGTAAGTCATGCATTTTATTCATGTATCAGTATCTTCGTTTTTATACATATTTTTATCATCATTATATCTGTTCATATTATCCTTCTTATTGACATTATCCTTATAATCGTGGTTAGTATTATTGAATCCATTATAACGTCAATGGCACTAAGTCCTATATCACCAATAACAATATAATAATAATAAAACGAAAGCTGAGAAAAGGAGAGAAAAAGGCGCGACATAGCCAGTACCTCATAGCCGCCCCTGGAGCATAATGTGTCGGCTTCCTTCTGGAGGAGGAACAGAAGGTCTCCTGAAGGGTTGTGGACGGTGTACTCCATCGGGGATCCCTGGACCACGCCCACCATGTTGCCGGGCGGGAAGCACACCTCCAGATGCTGAGGAAGGAGAGGAGGGTCTCAGGGCGTGGGCTGTGTTAATGTGTGTGCGAGAGAGAGAGGGTGGGTGGGAGAGAAAAATAAGGAGCGGATTTTTCTTTTCTCTCTCTTATTATTATTTCTTTCTTACGCTCGTCCTCTCACTCTCTCTCTCTCTCTCTTTCTTCATCTATCTGTCTACATATCAGTCTGTTTATCTGTCTCTCCCCTTTTCCTCCCTCTCTGTCTCCGTCCTTCCCTTCCTCCACTCTCTATATCACTACCTCTTTCATTTTCTCACACTCTTTCTCCTCTCTCCACCGACCCCCTCTCACCGTTTCTCTCTCTATCTATCTATCTGTCTATCTATCCCTCTCTCACCCACTCCCTCTTTCTTTGTCTCTCCCTCCCTCCATCCCTCCCTCCCTGGCTCGCTCCCTCTCCCTCCATCCCTCCTCCCTCTCTCTCCCTCCCTCCTCCCTGTCTCTCCTCTCCTTCTCCCTTCCTCTCCCTCTCCCTGCCTCCCTGGCTCGCTCCCTCTCCTCCATCCCTCCCTCCCTGGCTCGCTCCCTCTCCCTCTCCTTCTCCCTCCCTCTCTCTCCTCTCCTTCTCCCTCCCTCTCTCTCTCTTCCTCCCTCCTCTCTCTCCCTCCCTCTCCCTCCCTCTCCCTGCCTCTCCCTGCCTCACCGTGGGCGTGTAGGCGCAGCAGGAGGACTCCTCGTCGGTCCTCGTGAGGTTGAGGACGTCCAGATGCGCGTTGTTCAGGACCTTGATGGTGACGGGTCCGCATCCCCGCCGCCGCTGCAGCACCGCGGGTGGAAGGTCCGCACTACGTAGATCTGCTGCCCCTCCTCCCGGCTCACGCGCAGCTTCCGCCCTGCAGCGTCGGGGGTGGGAGGGAGGGAGGGGGCGAGAGGGAGGGAGGGGGGAGTGAGGGAGGGTGCTTAGTGTGGGTACTGTGTATTTACGCACGTTTGCACATACACGTACGTACACACGTACAATGCTTATATAACACACACATGCAGATATATATATATATATATATATATATATATATATATATATATATATATATATATATATATATATATATATATATATACATACATACATATATGCATAGATGAATAGAGAAGATAGATGGATAAAGTGTGTATGCACACACACACAACGGCACACACACACACACACACACACACACACACACACACACACACACACACACACACACACACACACACACACACACACCAACATATATATATATATATATATATATATATATATATATAATATAAATATATATATATAAACATATATTCACATACACACGCATCTAGCTAAGGCGCATTTCTGACGAGAAACACGAGCAAGCAACGGTTTATTTCGCTTGCTTTCTATGTAAACAAACTCCCAGGATGTGTTATGATTCGCTCCCCTTCGTTGTGGGCGACAGGGGTAAGCGTGGTAGAAAACGTACTGGGATCTGTTATTACAAGTGACAATCATCATCATATATATCATCAATATATCATCATCAATAGTAGTGAATCATCATCATCATCAATATTATCCCTATTCCCTCTTTCTACCTCATCCAACACATACTATGATAGTGAATTTGGGAAGTATTTCTTCATCTTGGCTTTGCTTGAACCGAAGGAGATAGAGGAAATAAGAATTTGAAAAAGAATCTATAAATTATGCAGCACAAAAGGTTATGGATAACTATAATAAAATCGTCCTTACCTTTAATGGCGAATTGAAAAGTCAAAGTCAGAACATTTTATTCCATTAATTACAATGGTTGTTCTTTACATACATACATTTATATTTATAACTGATTATTTAATAAGTGACCTTTTAAGATATGATCACAACTTAGCTTATAATATATCTACTGGTAAAAAATTAAGGAATTTAATAAGAGAATTTCATCGAAATCAAGGTCTATAAAAGTACTTATATAGACTTGTTTCTGTTGGCCTTGTTCGTGGTTTGTTTACTTTTGTGACGTCATGAAGCTTCGCGGTTTGTTTACTATTGTGACGTCATGAAACTTCGTTTTGTTTACTCATTGTGACGTCATGAAACTTCGCGGTTTGTTTACTATTGTGACGTCATGAAACTTCGCGGTTTGTTTACTATTGTGACGTCATGAAACTTCGCGGTTTGTTTACTATTGTGACGTCATGAAACTTCGCGGTTTGTTACTATTGTGACGTCATGAAACTTCGCGTTTGTTTACTATTGTGACGTCATGAAACTTCGGGTTTGTTTACTATTGTGACGTCATGAAACTTCGCGGTTTGTTTACTATTGTGACGTCATGAAACTTCGCGGTTTGTTTACTATTGTGACGTCATGAAACTTCGCGGTTTGTTTACTATTGTGACGTCATGAAACTTCGCTGTTTGTTTACTATTGTGACGTCATGAAACTTCGCGGTTTGTTTACTATTGTGACGTCATGAAACTTCGCGGTTTGTTTACTATTGTGACGTCATGAAACTTCGCGGTTTGTTTACTATTGTGACGTCATGAAACTTCGCGGTTTGTTTACTATTGTGACGTCATGAAACCGCGGTTTGTTTACTATTGTGACGTCATGAAACTTCGCGGTTTGTTTACTATTGTGACGTCATGAAACTTCGCGGTTTGTTTACTATTGTGACGTCATGAAACTTCGCGGTTTGTTTACTATTGTGACGTCATGAAACTTCGCGGTTTGTTTACTATAGTGACGTCATGAAACTTCGCGTTTGTTTACTATTGTGACGTCATGAAACTTCGCGGTTTGTTTACTATTGTGACGTCATGAAACCGCGGTTTGTTTACTATTGTGACGTCATGAAACTTCGCGGTTTGTTTACTATTGTGACGTCATGAAACTTCGCGGTTTGTTTACTATTGTGACGTCATGAAACTTCGCGGTTTGTTTACTATTGTGACGTCATGAAACTTCGCG